GCTACTACCCTCATGAAAATGTCTCTCTCTACCCTGGCGTACTAGAACATCTCTTCTGAAGTTCACACCGGGTTGTCAATCAAGCTCAAAGGCACCTCTCCTCCTCCTGCTGTGACATCAGGGGCTCACAATCTGCCATCAGACCTCTGGCCAAACCCGTTCCTGACATACTCTTCTGGGGTCTCAAAAGTTGAGTATGTTCAGCAGAGCATTCCCAGCTGCAGGATTTGTGCAGTTCTGCCAAAACTAGAGTTCACCGACTCTCAGAGCAACATCTTCTGGATCAAACGCTTGCTTGTTTAAAAATTGATTAATTCTGTTGATGTGTGCTGCATTTAATCAGCTTCAAATGCCCAGATGTGAGCACATTAAAAGAAAACACTCAAGCAAATTGCACCAAGGTCTATCTACACTGAAAAAATAAGTAATATGAAGTGTTTTTTCCAGCACAGAGGTGTATTTTCGGGTCACAGTTTAGAAATTACCTGCTGGGAAAAAAAAATATTGAAACAGAGTACCCTAATAAGTTTTTACAGAGGTAAGCTATTAGGCTGCTGAAATTAAGCTTACAGATTGACAGTTTTCTTTTATAACACCACACTAAGCATAGCACTTAAATGGATTCATCTGATGAAAGAGGAGAGACCCCTTTACTAGCCAAGAACCCCTAAATTAGGGCAGCTGGTGCAGTTACTTCATGCTATTGACCCACAGTAGCAGAAAGAGTTGATCACACTGGGAAAAACATTTACCAGAAAGGTTCACTTGGAGAAGTTTAAACGAGAGGTTTAAACAGATTTTCAGCAGTTTCTGCTGCTTTGTCTGCACAAAATGAAGAGCTGCTCACACAAACACGGCAATAAAAGGGGCGTTTTGAAGCCAGTGCTCCCAGCGTCACCACTCCATGCTCCGTGTTTTGAGCTGGGGATAAAGAAAACCGCAAGCCAACCCCATCTCCATGGATGCAGCTGCCGCAAGGCCGCGTCCCTCTGCTCGGTGGGACGGTGCCCGAGCTCCAGCGGGACCAGCCAGCCGGATGACCCCACTGCCGGCCAGACGGAGCCCCGGGGCCCGGGCCCGGCCACAGCGGCCAGCGCCCGAGAGGCGGCTCCAGCGGGAACCGGGGACGGCGGCAGCAGG